TAATTTCTTGTTTGATCACTAAGTAGTCTTATATAAATTATTACATAACTTTTTCATCAAAACTCTAACATAAACATAGTCTACATCCTAGACTTAATTAAGATTTCACACTTTATGTTTGGTTCAAATACTAGCCAATCATCATTAAAGGTCCTAAGGATCACTGTTTTACATAACCAATGAATTAAACACTTAATTTGCACAATTAATTCTAAAGGGCCAAAATACACACACTTTTACAGCATCAACATCCTGTGCCATTTTAATCACGAAAAATTAATCTTAACTCCGATTCCCCTGAATTTTGGATATGTTATAGTAGACACTTAAGGCTTTAATTTGGCGCAAACCACAATCCATTTGGAGTCTTGTAGCTTCAGATATGGATTTTTTAACATAACGGCCCCTATGTTGATCCTAAAAGGTCCATAAAGTTCTTTTGAAATTCCTATACTTCATTCTTTTTACAAACCAACTCTAAATCATATTACACTTACATTTCCACATACAAACTTGATTAAACACATCCTTTAACTATTTTATCACATGATGACCGATTTTCCTAGCTCAAGGTTTAATGAATTCTCTTTCAATTTTTCTATCACTTGAACCTTTAATTTGTCATCTCAATTTCATGTATTTCACTTAGGAAATATTACAAACACTTGATGTGCACATCTTTACACCCAAAATCTGAACCATATAGAGTTCATTAAACTCATCCCTTATGTGATATCAATTTCTTTTTTTGTAGTAGAGAAAACCAATCCATCACAACAACTCATTAACCAACTTAAACATAACCACTTAAATTCATCATTAAACCAACATCAAAATTATCATCATAAACAGCCCTATATCATGAATATCATCATCATTTCTAAGAGTTTCATCAAGGAAGTGAAGGTTTAATACCTTAGATAGCCTAACCAATAACTATTGATGACTTCCCTAAGCTTAGAACTATGGAATCAATCCATTTTCTCCTTCCTTTCCATGTGCAGGCGCTGCTGTCCAGAGGAGAAAAGAAGAGATTTAAAGCTTCCCAAAGTTAGAAAAATGGTGGGTTAGGATGATAGGGTGCTAAGCTACCTTTTCTATGTTGGAGTCTAGATGAAATGGTGACTAAATCATCAAGTTCTCTCTTGCTCTTTCTCCATTGAAGGTCATGAACTAAGGAAGAAGAAAGAAAGGGGAGTGCAGCGTAAAAAAAAAAAAAGAACGAAGGAAAAGGGACCGCCTAATTGAAGTCAAGTAGTCTTAGTTTATTTATTTATTTTTTGACTAACATGTCACTTTCTCATTGGTTTAAACAACCAAACTATTTGCTTGTTGCTTTCTTCCTAAACTCTACGGCCCACATAAGTGATAAGAAAGAAAAGAAAGCATAAAAACTTCATGAAGCAGCGTACAACAATTTGGTGAATGACTTTTAATGAAACTTGGTGATAAAGTACTCAACTCCACCAAATATAGATTTGTCAACATTAAATACTATTGGTTCTTTAATTCTTCATTTGACTAATCAACTATCATCTTAAATATTTATTGGTTCAATTCTATCAAATTTCCTCATCTTTTTTACTAAAGTTACGTACATGACAATTTAAAGAAGACACAACATTGCAACTTAAATAATTAAGACTAAGAATATTGTTTGACTTTTTACTAATCAAAACTCATCTTATTGCTTAATAATTAATCCATCTTTTCCTTAATTTTAATAATTAATCCAAGCATCATTTAAATAATTTAAAGATACTTTAAACTTACTAATTTCTCTAAACTAATTAATTATTCAACCTAAATTATATTTAGGCCTAATTACCAAGGTAAACACAAACTTACTCCATATAAATATTTATGTTCTTAGTTATATATAATAATTATATTTGAATCCTATTAGACTTGTATTCTCTTATTATTTATCACCTGAATCTATTAATTTAACTCTCACAATTTCATTGAATAAGTATTTAATCTAATTAACCACCTTATTAATTCCTTTCCCTTAATTTACTAATGAGGGTTGTTATATACACTTATTCTGATTATGCTGGATGACTGACCGTCGTTCTACCACTGGTTATTGTATGTTTCTTTGTGGTAACTTGGTGACATGGAGAAGTAAGAAACAAGATGTGGTTGCCAGATCAAGTGCAGAAGCTGAATTTCGAGCTATGACTCAAGAGGCATTTGTGAGTTACTATGGCTAAAAATTGTACTTGATGACCTCAAAATAAAATGTGAAGGACCTATGAAGCTGCTATGTGATAATAAGTCTGCTATTTGTATAGCTCATAATCCAGCTCAACATGATCGGACTAAACATATTAAGCTCGACCGTCATTTCATCAAAGAGAAACTTGATAGCGGGTTGATTACCACTCCATACATTCCCACTGGACGTCAATTAGCTAATGTATTGACAAATGGACTTTCTTCAGACAGATTTCAAGAGCTTACTAGCAAGCTGAGAATGATAAATATCTATTTCTCAGCTTGAGGGGGAGTGTTGTAAATAATAATTATTTAGTTATTATTTAGTCATTTATTTGTTGTATTGGGCCAAGCCCATTAAGTCTGAATTAGGTCAAGTATTCTCTATAAATAGAGAGCCCTTTGTACAGATTATTTACAATTCTATAATATATCATAATACCTTTTTTTAAGTATCAAATTATTAATGGGTAGACGGAGGGGTCTTTAAGATTTAAGCCTTTTGTAGACATGATAATTTATGATATATTGTTTTATTTTTATTCTTGGCACAGGTGGATGAAAATAACTGAAACAGTTTTGTCTAAACTCCCAAAAGAATATAAAGATGTTCTTACAATGGCCAGTGGCTTCCTTTGAGTGGACCTAAAATAGAGTGGTTTTTCACCAATATTATAGCCTTTATTTTTTTTATTTGTTGTAAAAAGACATCCATTTAATCATAATGAGACATCCGTGTAAAATCTATTGCCTCTGTAATTTTGAATTCTTGTACTGAACAACTCATTATTATTAATACAAGACCAGTGCTGTTAGTTTTATTCTCCTTTCGGTGTTCTGTTAATACGTATAATTCTTTTCCTATGTTTGGTTCCCATGATAATGACGTAAAATAAAGGAAATTGTATTTAAATGTTTGCAGAGAAAGTCTCATGACACTGCGAAGCTAATGGCCACAGCTAACGTTGTTAATATAAACCCCTCTTTTTCTATATTAGATCGACACTATTCGACAGAAAGATCATTAGGAGTATGACTAATTTGTAGCCTGCCAACTTCATTCAGACTTTCCTAGTTTATAAAATACAAAGAAATATTGCAAGAGCCTGTTACACAAATGCAAGACAAGGTGAAATAGACAATTAATAGCAAACAAAAATATCACCTGAGTCAAAAGGAAAGTGGCTGAGTTAATTTCTGATACAATTAAAATCAAGATCCTGATATAGTTAAAATGTATCATCATCAATTAAAAGCAAAACAGAGACAATTATAATTAATATATATACACACAAATTGTTCACGAATCAGGATCAAAGAAGTAACACGAACTTAACCTGTTCAAGATTAATCGTATCCAATTTCAATACATGTTCATGCTTTACATCCTCAACCTGCTAAGACAATTTTATCTGATACAAATCTTAATTCAGTTCCAAAAATATTCAAAAATATATACAGTCCCAAAACAAAATCCTGCTTAAATTATATCTGCTGGTGCAAATCTTAATTCAGTTCCAAAAATATTCAAAAATAGATACAACCCCAAAAGAAAATCCTGCTGATACAATATCTGGTACAAAAATAGATACTATTGTGATGAACCATATGCAACTTCTGCTCTTTGTATTATCAAGTGAAAGAATATGCATTCACCCAGCTTTGAGAATGGCCTCAAGGAGTTTCAAAAACAGACCACTAGTCCTCAGTTCCTTACAACCCATTTCAAGTGTTTGTAGGTTTTCCTTAAGCTCAAGAACATCACAATCATAACTCGACCTGAAAAGCACTTGAATTACAAAGAGCTTAAAATAAAATTTCACAAGTTGGCACGAAATCACATAATACAATCCATCTCTTAAATCACGTAATACACTCCATCACTTTTTTTTTTTGAAAAAAAGAAAAAACTCATTCGGCCAATGCGCTCTAAAAGAAAGGATTTCTAATTCATTTTTGTCTCGTGTGACTTTTCAAAAAGACTTTTAATGCATGATTCTTCCTTGTGATCCAAAGGCAGAGCTTTCCACCACTTCACCAAGGTAGTACCCTTCAAGAAGACCTCGTCAGCTAGTTCTTTCTTTTCACTCCATGCTAAAATTTGAACCTCTAGTTTCGCAACCCTTTCCTTAACATTTTCAAATGAGCTATTGTTGTTACTGGTTTTGTTGCAAAGATCCTCCACCTCAGCCCAAAAGCAAGATTCCGAGTATTCTCTTTTGTCTGTGCTCCTCTCCTTATGCTCCAGCCATCTTTGGGTGTATCTATATCGTTTTGGCCTTCCCTTATCATCCATGTAAGAATTCAATCCACCCTCGAGATGCCTCAAATGGCGATAATAATTAGCAATATCCAGAGGCTCCACTAGTCGGCGAAACCTTGTTCCAAGATCAACCCATTCTTTCTTGCCTTCAAATTCATCTGGTAGTTCATAACTTCTCACTTTTTCAATGATCTCATCCCACACACCTGCCAGCTCTAACCTATTCACATTTGCTTCGAAGTCCTCTTTCACATTTTGCACCTTGAAGGCATCGTAGTAACCAATCTCAAGCTCCCCCATTTTTTTATATTCTTCCAGTTTTTTCATTTTTATCCCAACATAATCTTTCTTCTTTGTGATGCTTTCCTCGTTTCTGGATCTCCGATCCTCTAACTCGGCTGCTGCCCGAAGACAAAGTCTTGCTCTTGTGCTCTGAAATTCCAGACAAGGAATTATCACATATTCTGCAAATCCTTAGCTAGATCCATGTATCATCTTTCGACAAATCCTTGTGCTTTGTGTAAATTTAGATAAAACGATGTATTTTATGTATATTTGGTGATTTTTTACATTCTTTCTCTTCCATAAAATTAGGAATAGAGGGAAAGCGAGGGAGAAAGAATGTAAAAAATAACTAATTATGCATCAAAATAACTTTGTTTCATTTAAAAAGACACAAAGTTTGTCGAATGATAAATACTTTTCTAAGATGCAGCTAGTACATAATTATATAGCTAAGGTTTTATCAATTGATCTTATTACCTAAGGTGTAGCTAGTACATAATTATATTATAACCATAGTAACATGCTGAAAAAATGTTACTTACTAGGCCAAGGTCATTTAAGGCCGTGTTAATCGTTGCAACATTGCCACCTGAACCAGCTTCAGACAAAGGAAGCTCCTCGAGTTTGTCCAAGGACACAAAATTGTGCATTTGTAAGATTTGTTGGGATTCGGTGGTGCCATAAATGAAATGTTGTTGTAGGCTTTTATAGGGAACTTGATCTTTTTCTGCTTCAGTGCTTAATTGAGCAGAGAAAAACATGAGCTGCAGAACCGCATCTGGGTTTTTTATGACAATCTTCTTTCCAAAATTTCTATTTCCAGTGCAGAAAACGTAAGTTCCAAAGGGTTTGTAAGGGCTTAATGGAATGAATTTTGCAAGATTTTCAAGTGTGGCAGGTGTGCTGCCCATTAGCTTACAGGCAGCATGGCTTGTGACAGTTGCAGCATTTGACATTATGGCAAAGTAGAAATCTGAAGCTGCTTTGTAAGAATCGGAATTGGGATCGGAATCGGGATTGAATGATTGTAATTCAAATCTTTCATCAAAGGAAGAGAGAGGAGCAAGTAAGATTCGTGGCACTATGTCATATCTCATCACAAAATGCAAGAAGTACTTAGACCAATTTTCTCTCCTTGTAGCATGAGAAAATATGTGATTACCAACTAAGGGAGAACCAAAAGTTACACACTGAGGAGCGAAACCCTCGTTGGATCTTGGAATCATGTATTTATCCAAGACCCAAAGGGTTGCCAGAATAGCCACAGGACCACCAGAGGAGTGTCCTGTGAACACTATTTTCTTCTTATTTCTCATTGCATCCTTCACCTGCAGATTCATTCAAATATATGATTTCCTTAAATAAATGGATGATTAACATTCACATGAACAACAACAGCTACTTATAGAAAGGCTGGGTTTTGTATATAAAAGGAAAGAAAACCAAAAAGCTATGTTTGCATTGTAAAATCATTTATCGTAAGAAAAGAGAGTTGTTGTCACTTGTCAGATAATACCGTATCTTCAAGTGTTTTTTCCTCCAAAATGTCTATAAATCTTTGCTGAAAGGCTTCATTCACTAAAGCAGCTTCGTCGTTACCAATGCTTTTAAGTGAAGGGAATAGATCAAGTTTTATTTTGGTTTCCCCAAAGGGTCTATTGGAGTACCAATCCTTGACAGCACCTGATCCTGGAAAGCTGATTATAACTTCTGGAGGGTTGCTTTCGCTGATCTCTTTAGGAAGGAAAAGTTTGTCTGGTGATTTCTGAACCTCGAAGGCCAAATTTAATGCCTCCTCAACGCTCTCTCTGCTCATTTTTGTGCTATCACCAAGCCATCCACTTCCACTTGCAGCCATGTCTCTGAGTTCTTCTCAACTTGCTTCTCAACTTCTGGCTTGTAGGTTTGATGTTCAGTTGCTCGACACAGAGATGTTTGTTATAAGATTAGATCATCACAGCCAAAGACTTTGTGCGACTTGACTTTAAAAGCACTTGACAGTAACCTGATTGGACTACAAATGGGGACTTATACAATAAAAATAATGATGTATTCAAAGTACCCGAGTTATATATGTAGTGCCATTGGATTTGTGGACTGCAATGATCATCACATGTACCCGGAAACCACATTGGCATACTTTATGATAGGGTCAGGTCCAGGGATTGCTTTTTTCACAATATTTTGTTTTCGTGTCTGTTACTTTTGTTGGGAAGTATTCCTTCCTTTAACGCTTGTTGCAAGTCATTCCTTTCTTTAACGCTTGCTGCAAGGCATTCCTTTTCTTTAATGCTGTCGTGCAAGTCATTCCGACCTAATTAAAGAATAATTAAAGAACTATTCCTCCTCGGCCAGTGGCGGACCTAGGACATTTTCTTTATGTCTGCACAATTTTTTTATTTTTTATTTTAAAGATAATGATCATAATTCAATTTTTGCTTTCATTTCAAAAGTAAAGTTTCGATGAATCAACCAAAGTTTTAAGGAAATAATTGATAATGATAATTAAAAAAAATAAGCACCACAAAAAGATATTTGTAAAATATAGTATAATTATAAGAGTTAATCGATCAAAAACTCATCTTGTGGCCACTTTTGTTTCACAAAATAAACGTGAAAAATTCCGTGAGATTCTCCTCCACTTGATGAAGATTGAATTTCAGGAATGTTATGTTTATTCAGATTTGGAACTAATAAGATTTATATATAAAAAAAGAGACAAAACAATGGGCTAAGGTTTAAGCTTTTAATTGTAGAAGTTAGTTGGGTTGAGCATATTTTACCTTTTTTCTTTAATCTTCCTATTTCTTTTTCTTTTTTTCCTTTTTTTTTACTTGACTTGAAGTATCCATTTCATGTGGAAAAAAAAAATTCTCCAATTTTGTGTCTGCAAGTGAAGACACTAGCACTAACATGCGTCGACCGTTGGTCATGAGTCACTAGTATCACCAGTAAGAGAAAAAATTTCTATTTTAAAAAGAGAAATATTTTACCATTTATTTATCATCACATTTAATGACCTTAATTATTATGAAAACCAATTTTTAGTTATCAGATAACAGTCGTAATAAGACCACAATCTTTTGTGGGGACTGAGATTATAAGGAAATCTCACAAGGATTGAGCTTAGATAAATTATATGATTATAGATATGACATCTAATGAAGACTAAACAACTGCAATATTTCAAGCTGGCATTGCAAGTTTTCTTGATTGTCTATATCCAGTTGTTAATTTTATATCCTGTTGTCCGGGTTATGTAATTGTCTGGTGGCATTAAATGCCAAGTGCCATCCCTCTTCATTTAATTCATATTTTAATAAAACTGATAATTAAAATATAGAAGGGGCAGCCGAGGCCACCTCAAGCTACAAGGAGTATCCCTACCCAAATTTAAAGGTGTACGTGCGTCGAATTGAATTTTTTAAAAAACCGAATTGAAATAGTTTGAACGATTCGATGGTTCAAAATCAATTTCAAAAAAGATTCTGTTTGGTTGAAAATCATTCAGTTCGGTTGGAACTAGTTCGGGTTGACTCTATTCTAAAAAAGAAAAGTTAAAAATTAAAGAAATAATGTAATAAAAACAGTTTGGTTCGGTTCCAAAACAGTTCGGTTCGATTCGATTCGATTCGAAAACGATTCGGTTCATAAACTGATTATTTAAAAATCAGTTCGGTTTATGAACTTATTTTTAAAAATCAGTCATTTTAAGTGTAGTTCAGTTCAGTTTATAGTTCGGTTTAATTTTTTGATTATTTTGCAGATCCCTACCCAAATTTACAAATGTATTCTCATCTTTAGCTTATTTGGTTAAACATAACTACTATCCTTTAGTAGTCTTAAGTTTGTGTTCTTGAAGATGTAGATGTATTAAATATTTGACAGGTAGAAATTTGTTTGTCCGTAGGATTGATATTTCTCATGCTGTAAGATATAATATTTCGGGCGCTGATGAGGGCGGGGAGTGATCACCAATGCAAAAGAGATGAGCTACAAACAATGAGCAACTCCTGACAGGCTTCCAGCGGGAGCGATATATGAATGAATCGAGTCAATACTTGAACGAGAGCAATCCAAAAAATGTGTATGCAGTGGTGGAGCCAGCAAGACATTTTAGCCGATGCCAAAAAAGTAAGTCGATTCCAAGATAGCTAGGGTTATATAGCTACATCCAAAACGTGGCTAATTTTCAAAAAATTTGAAACTTGATTTGCTACATTAATTTTGTTACACTTGAAACGTGGCTAAATTAGCCAGTGCTATGGTACCTTTGGGCACCAACGTAGCTCCGCCACTATGCTTATGTATGAGACTGTACAGTTGAGGATAACTATGTACTACCTATACAAACAAGATGCATCTACTCTTCGGTAGCCCATAAGTTCAGAACTCCATAGTTAAGCGTGCTTGATTTGAATCAATTTAAGGATGAGTGGCCTCCTAAGAAGTTTCTTAGGAAGTGTGTGAGTGGGGATAAAGCACGTTGAAAAGTCTTGTGTTTGTTTATGGGGACAGTCATTGATCATGCAAGTGGTCGGATGTTACATAAGAGATAATTTTATCTCCTACACATATATAAATAAAAGTATGTATGACTAGGGGTGTTCGAGGTCTGGATTGGATCGGTTTTGGAAGCAAAAATCATCTGATCCAATCCCTTCGGTTTGATTATATAATCATCCATTCGATTTTGATTTTTTTTTCAAATCCGATCTGATCCAATCTAATTTTTTTCGGTTTGGATTGGATCGGTTTTCAGTTTTTTGAAAATCCTAAAATTTATTTCATGATTATTGTGCAAATAACTTCTTTTGTATATATTGGCTTTGTAAATTCTTTTTTTGAAATACAAAAGCATTAGTAAACTATAATATAATTTTTTTAATTTTGGCAATGAGATATGAAGCTCTACAAAGATAAAATTTTGTTGATGAGATATGACTAGATTTTTTCTTAGGTTTAGTTGATAAGTTAATGGGTCTTGAGTTTAGAAATTTTTAGGCTATGATTAGGGAAATACCCAAGTAAGTAGAGGAAAATTAATATATTGGATCGGTTTTCATCAACCCATCCAAAATTCGATCCAATCCAATTAAAATTTGCAGTTTTTAATTGGTTATCGGTTTTTCAGTTTTCGGTTTATTCGGTTATCGATTTTTCGGTTCGATCACCGCGGTTTGAATCGGTTTGGATCTGTTGATGAACACCCCTATGTATGACCCATTTTTTTCCTTTATTTTCTCATCACATAGGCCTCATGTACTTTTATGTATGGAAAAATTATTTGTGCTTTAAAAGGGTGTAAGTTGTGTCCTTTTAGTTTTTTTACTTTATGTACTCCCCGTAGTACATAGTTATAATATAAAAAAAAAATATTCTCTCCTCAGTCACATCAGCTGACGTGAAAAGTGAAAAAAAATTGTGTTATAACTATGTACTACCTGGAGTACATAGAATAAAAAACTAAAAGAACACAACTTATATCCTTTTAAAAGACACACACTGAACCTTTTATTTATATATAGTAAATAAAATTATCTCCTATAAAATAACAAAAACATTCATTCCATAATCTTATTCTACTTGAACCAAACTTTAAAAATAAAACTATTATTCCTGTGATTATTGAAATATATATCATATCATTCCTTCTCTTTCAAGCAACTGATAAATTTAGAACTTTTTTATACGCACCAGAAAATAAAATAATATATTCTTTGCAGCTTTCGATGAATAACCTAATATGAATCTAGGCGAACTCAAAAGAAGACGACAAATAGTTTACCAAAAAAAAAAAAAGAGAAGACGACAAATAAAACAATAAAAATATACAAATATTAAAGCACCAGTACAATATACACTAACAAGGATCAGTTTTAGATCTCTGCATCTTAAAAATCCTCGTCCACAGTTTCTGCTTGGCTATTTTTTTCAACATTGTTCAGATAGATTAATGAAGCCAATTCTATTTTATTTAGTATCGGGAATTAATCTTTTCTTTTACTGTTTTTTAAGATATTTTTTTAAAAAAAAGTAATTATTTTTTTTAAAGAAACTAAAACAAACATGCATGCATGATGCATCTAATATATTTCTTTGATATCTAGTGGTGGTAGAAAAGCAAGAACATCAAAAGAAAACATCATATCTGAATAATGACAAAACGTTTAAATTTAAAGTCATTTTAAATTGCCTTACGAAGGTTTTTTTTTTAGATATATATATATATATATATATATATATATATATATATATATATGGTTAAGATTGAGTGTACTTTATTGAAACTAATTCTTTAATTACAGTCTACTTTATTGCAACCAATTATAATTAGATTGCGAGAGGTTATAAATTATTCTAATGGAAAACTCTTGTGATTATAAATATGGAAATTTGATTAAAAAGAAAGAAAGTAAATTTGAGTTTTTAGTTCATGAACATCGACCCAAGCATTTAGAGGTGATTTTAACCACCTCAATTTCTTAAAATAACCGTCTCTGCATACCTGATTTTTTTGTAGTCGATGTTATGGCAAAAAAATTAAAATAGTAATATTTTAATAAATAATTACGAATACATAGCTATTTTAAAACTATTTACGGATCTATTACATTCATTCATGTCCAAATTAAGCGTGAATAGGCGTGACTCCCAAGGCATTCACGCCTAATTTTGGCGTGAGTAGTCACGTCACGCCTAATTTAGGTGTGACTCGTCTTGTGTTGACACGTGGCACAAAAAAATCAACTTACAAATCGTAAAATTTTGGAAAGCCATAACTTTTTACTCAGGTATCCAAATTAGGTAAAAAAAAAATTGATTTCGCAAAACTTTTCGAGATCTACGCAATGACACATTATTTGACATATTTATCTCTCGCAAAAACAATTCAAATTTGCAATAACGATATTATATA